CGGACCAAAACGGAGACTTTTGAAAACGATGGCGTGGCTGCCCACATTCGCTCTGCGTATCGTTGATGACCGTGTAAACAATAACATCATGCTCATTGTTGTACCCATAGATATGTATAGGTAGATTCCCCATTCGACCGCTCCAAGCACGTAGATGCGTCCGCCATCTAAAAAATAGGGAACCTACCTATATATATCTATGGTTGTACCTGCATGAATGGTCATGTGACATGCGTTTTCGGTTGTGTAGTGTAGACGGAGATAGTTTCTGAAACGCAGTGAAAACGCCAGTGTAGACAAGGATCGTTTTCGTTTTAAAATGCCGTTTTAAAACAAAAACGCACTAGTGTAAATGGGGCCTAAGACTGGTGTGTTATATCACCCGAGAATACGACATCCTAAACAGCATAAAGTCCCAAATAACCAATTTAATTACTGCAACTGTATTTTTCGTTTTCAGGCTAATTGAAAACTTTAATGTTTTTTGGTAAAAAAATAAATAAAATAATAAATAAAATAATAATAATATATATACTGTATATATATTTCAGTGCAGCAATAGTTTATATTAAAAAGTTAAACATATATAAAAAGTTAAAGTAAAAAAAAAGTTTAAAATTGTTTTGCTTCAGAAAATTTGTATTCATCCACTGGAGTTGTATTTGGGAGCCTAAGCACTTGCATCAGATACATTACTTTTCTAAAACTCTTAAGAAAGAAAATCATACAGATCTATGATGGCATGAGGGTGAGCAAATGATGAGAGGTGGTGGGGTTCATTTTTGGTTATCCCTCTTTAAACCTTTTTTAGCAAGTCTAGTTATAGCTCACACAAAAGTGAGCATTTTGTCATAATTTACTCACCCTCAAGTTGTTTCAAACCTGTATGAATTCCTTTCTTCTGTTGAACACAAAAGAAAGTATTTTGAAGAATGTTGGTAACCAAACAGTTAATGGCAGCCACTCCATAATACAGAAGTCAATGGCTACCGGCAACTGTTTGGTTACCAACATTCTTCAAAATACCTTCTTCTTTATTCAACAGAAGAAACTCATACAGGTCTGAAACAACTTGAGGGTGAGTAATAATGACAGATTGTTAATTTTTGGGTGAACTATCATAGGCCTTTTCGATTTCAAATATATATTTAATTTAGATAAAACCTTCGCTATCTTCTTTCTTTCAGTTACCAGAACATATTTATTTAACTGAATCCAAAATATAGCCGATTATAGCGACGAATGACTAATAAATGTATAGAACAATGATGATGACAATAGGACATGAATCTCACCTTCCCACTTGCCATCAAAGACAAGCCAAGCTGTACCAAAGATGAAACTCATTATAGGAGAACTTCATGGCCCGCTCCAAACACTGATGACAAACAATTGATGACAAACAATCACACACCACATCACAGCCAGAAAGAAACTCAGGGAATCAGCCTTCCAAGAAAATGACAATGCAGTTGACATTGCTCAGCATAACTAGTTATTTCTAGGAAGGATCTTGTTGTTTTCAGCATGGATAGGGGATTGTGTGTATCCTGTACACATCACATAATGGCACATGCATGAGAAAGTGAGCCTACCTTTGATGAGAAAGGGATTTACATTCGACATGCAAGCAGGCATGTGTTGGTAATACCGAGTAAAGGCAGTGGGTTACCAATGAAATGACATGGATTCAGTTGATGTTAACTGAATGAAAACATTGAACTTAGATCCAAATTCACCTGAGAAAGTCTCACCATCACACAACGGCCCAACTACTGAAACAACCTGAAGGACAGGACGAAGGAGGAAGGGGAAATAAGCAGCCATACGACTGGGAGAAGAAAAGAGAGAGATTGACAGACTGAAAGAGGTGACTTGTGACAAAGAAAGAGAAAGAAGCAACTACAAAATAATACAGGTCACTTGCTCCTGTTTGCAAAGCGCGGGGGTCGATACGATCTGTGCTGACTCATCTCACCTCTGACAGCATGGCGTACTGCCCCCTCCTGGCCATGGCGATGCTCAGCAGGTCATAGACGGAGGAGGCGTCCTGCATGCTGCTCTTCCTCGCCTCCTGATGCTCCGGTGTGCGGTTGATCACCGCCTCGCCACTGGCCTACAGGGGACAACAGAGAGAGGGTTAGGAATATGTTAAAGCTGTGTTTCCCGATCCTGGTCCAGGAGAATCTCCAGCACTGCACATTTTAGATGACTCTCTTACCTTGCATGTTTAATTCAGCTCTTTAGCTCATTAGTAAAGTGTTCAAGAACTGAACTGGGTGTCAAATACGGACACGAACAAAATGCAGTTTTGGGGGGCCTTCAGAAGCCCTGTGTTTAAAGGGATAGTTCACCCAAAATTTAAAATCTTGGAAATGTGTTATTTATTTGTTCCAAACCTGTATGGTGTTGTTTTGTTGTTTTAACTCATTAAACAATCATTTCTGTCATTTAATTTGTGTTGTCTGAAGTTGCTTTAGGTACAAGTATCTGACAAACAAATGAAAATGATTTTAAACATACATACTATATCAAACATACTATATTAAAGTGCCCCTATTATGGATTTTTGAAAATTACCTTTCATGCAGTGTGTAACACAGCTCTAAGTGAATGAAAACATCCTGCAAAGTTTTAAATCTGAAAGTGCACCGTGTATAAAGTTATTGTCTCTCAAAAGAAAGAGTCGGCTCTGAATCATTGAAATGAGTCGTTTTTAAAACGAATTCCAAGCCGCTTCATGTTAAGGTCAACATGAAACATTAGCATATTGCCTGCCCACTTGTTGGTCTTCTAGTAAAAACGTGTGGGTCTGTATGAAAATGTCAAATAAATGCAAAGTTTTACCATGGTCAGTAGCCACTAGCAAAAATCACACAAATGAATGTCTAATGGCCATAAATGAATCATACATGTCTCAAAATTTGCTTTCTGTCTTGATAAACAACATAAACTATTGTTCATAATGTTTGGGGTTAATAAGGTTAATTAATGTTTTGATAGAAGTATCTTACTCTCACCAGGGCTGGATTTATTTGATCAAAAAAGTGATTTAAAATGATTTCTTTACTGAATTTTCAGCATCATTACTCCAGTCTTCAGAGTCACATAATTTTTCAGAAATCATTGTAACATGCTGATTTGCTCCTCAAGAAACATTTCCTATAATCAGTGTTGAAAACATTTGTGCTGCTTAATATTTTTGTGGAAACCCTGATATATACTGTATATATTTAGGTTTCTTTGATGAATGTAAAGTTCAAAAGTAGTGTTATAAATGTCTTTACTGTCACTTTTGGTCAATTTAATGTATCGTTGCTGAATAAAAGTATTAATTTCTTTAAAAAAATGTAACTTTCGAACAGTAGTGTATGTCATAAGAAGATTAGAAGACAAGTTTAGATTAGTTTCAATGCCAAATGCAGTATATTTATAATACTGGGGCATCCAAATTCATCCACCTAGAAAAATAGTCCCACCTCCAAAGGACAATTTAGAGGTCACTCTAATCATGGAAGAGAGGAATCCTCCTTTTGTGTTCCACATAACAAATAACAACAAACAGGTTTGGCAAATTTTCCTATTCCTTCATAATATAGTTATGCTATAGTTCTCAAGATGCAGTTAAAGAGAAGAGACGTCACAACACAGCATGTTAAGGAAGAAAGGATGAATGTGAGGAAGACTGTCTCACCATTGATTCTGTGATGAGGAGCACCAGCACCGCCTCTTCAACCACGTCCTGTGGACAGAAAGCTCTGCAGGGTGGCAACAGGAAAAGGAAAAAACACGTCACCAAGGTGTGTGTGTGTGTGTGTGTGTGTGTGTGTGTGTGTCAGTCTCTAGTTACATACTGTATGTCAGTCTGTAACTGCTCTCTGTACTCACATCCATTCTCACAGTTGTCACATTTTTAACATGTTTTATTGGTATTCTGAACAATTTTGTCTTTCTTTACAGGCTCTTTTTCTCTCATCCCTGATTTCCCCTCTCATTACTTTATCCTACTTCCCTCCACCATCTGGAGTCCCATCCTAGTGTGTTACTGAACTGTACCAGGAATGGTAAACTAGAATATTCCTTTCATCTGTTCTCATTTCTGTTCTTCAGACGCATTGTCAAAAGTCTCTCCATCTTTTTTCATCTCTCTTGTATTTTTCCTTTCTCTGCTTGGCGTCTGCAGACTCACAGGTACAGTTACAGTATGTTTTATTCACAACACAGCATTCCGCCGTGTCCTGAATATTAAAGCAGGCAAACAAACCCCAGCGCTGTCCTCTGCTCGTCTCCTTGTTCATTGCTCTCTGATTCTAGTTATCGATCAGTATTGTCCAGTGGCTGATGTACACAATACAATTTAATGAGAGCAGTGAGATTTACATTAAACTGCTAAAATTAACAGTTATTATTTTAGCTTGACAAAGCATACTGATCTACTATTTAAGATTTTCTTCTTCTTTTTCTTTGTCTGAGACAAACGTTCTAAACGTTCACTCATCCTAGAGACTGCCAAAACTCGCTTTTCACAGCTTTTCAGGATGTTCTGATGGTGTGTTATATTTTTTATGACTGATCAGGCTTATAGTTCTCCTGTATTTGTTCGGTCACCTATCTGTCAATGTGTTAAATTATGCTAGCAATGTGCTAAAACATGTTGGTAACAAGCTAAAACAAGCTAGCAATGTGCTGAAACATACTAACATAGGCTACTTTGTTAAAACATGCTAGCTGTTCTTAAACATGCTAGCATGGTAAACTATCAAAATGTTTAATAATGTTAGAAACATACTAGAAACATGCTAGAAACATGCTAAAAAATGCAAGGAATGTGCTAAATCATGCTAGCAACTTGCTCAAATGCATTATGGCATGTACTAAAATGCTAACAACATGTTAAAACATTGTATCAACATACTAAATCATGCTATCAATGTGATAGGATATACTAGAGACATATTAACATGCTAAAACATGTTGTTTAACAATACTAGCAATGTGTTCAAATGTGTTAGCAACATGCTAAAACATGCTATAAACATGGTAATGTGTGAAAAAAATGTTAAACATGCTAAAAATGTTATACTCTGCTACATATTACATATTAAGCATGTTAACAAAAACTAAGAACAAGCCAGCAACTGTATGTTAACAATGCCAAGCAACAAGCAGCAGGTGGTTTTGTAAAGGTCTAATCGTTTTATGTAGTTTCATAGGTCTAATGAGGTCTAAATTAGTTTTTATTGTACTGTCTGACTTTTCATGACTTATCTTAGTAAAACATTCAAATTTCAAGCTTTTAAAAGTTATTTTAAATTTGTCAAGTCATCAAAATGTATTTTGTTGTGCTTTTATATTCTGATCATCCTTTAGATATTGTTTTCTACATGAAAATTGAGTTTGAATATACAGAGAATGGGAATGGAAAGAGAGTCTGACCCCTCAGTGTTGTAGCGCTGTGGTGGTCCGGACGAGGGGTAGATGGCGTTTTTGGAGTGTGTGGCTCCTTCTCTCTTCAGCCAGCCGGGTGGTGGAGGAGACAGTGGACCCCAGTACGCTTCCTCACAGACTGAGCCCAGCAACACTTCTGCAAGTCTGCGCGCTACTGTCTGAACAACACGACACAACAGACAACAACCTCCGACTCCTGCTGTGTGATTGTGAGCATCAAAAATCTCATTTACCCAGATCTCACCTTACGAAAACTCTGAGAACCCCGACTCTCCACAGCCCTCATGACCCGCCGCAGCTGCTGAGTTCCCTGAGCCAAGTGACTAAAACACAAATAGGCACAAGTGATTGTGGGAAGCCAAATGATTGAAAAATAAAATGATAACTGACTTAACGGATAACGGATGGACATTATAACAGACTTACAGTATACAGTGGATATTGCTTACAGTATGCAGTGTTGCCAAGTCCATGGTTTTCCCACGGAATTGGGCTACTTTTATACTGCTGCCGCGGACTGTTTTTTTTTTTTCAGTCTCGGGGTTGAAGTGTAATCCTCTGACCACCCGGAACATAATTTTGACCAAATGAAACCTCCTGGAATGCTTTTTTTGAGCAATTTTGATAGCCATTTCCCCCTGGAACGCAATTGGGCTAGTTTTGAGCACCAATTGGGCTGGTTTTGTTATGTAGTCCTGGCAACCCTGGTAGTATGTTACAGTATGACTTTTTATAATCTCTGGGAAGTAGGTTACTTTTATTTTTTATTCACACACACACACACACACACACACACACACACGCATATATTACATATACATATTTTTGTTTACCATCCTTGCTAAACAAAAGTATACATTTCTTTATTTTGATCTTTTTCTTACATCTTGACAGCTTAAAAAAACATGTCAAGAAGATTTCAAAATTCACAGCTGATGTTTCAACAGGTTATTTTGTGGATTATCAAATGGATGATCAAGTCATGTCCATTGCATTATACTGTATGAAACAGCACGTATCTCAATTTTTTTGTCTTAGGTATCTCCATAGGCTAAAAGTTCTTCAACAACACCAAAAATGAAATTTGTTCTTTTACATTCACATTATATCAGAATTGTAATACATTCACATTATACTAGATATTATTTAGACTGTAATAATGGTTATTATTAAAATGGCCATTACAGTGATCCGCTGCAAAATCACTTTTGTTACAAAAACATTTAAGTCCAAAAATGTGGGTAATGTTATTATATTATATTTCATTATTGTGAATTTGCTTTTGATTGTTTTTTTTGTGTGTGTGTTTGCATTTCCCGTTTTTTTATTCAGTTTGAGAAATATAGAACTGTATTTATAGCATTTACAGTCACAGATTTCTATTTGAGCACTGGACTGTTGTGAAGAAGAGGGAAGGGCAGCTGAGACAAGTAAAGAGCTCTATGCAGAAATCTACCTCTGTTCAGTGTCTTTATAGACTATACTGCACATATATATTAAAGGCTATATGCACACAGGTATTCCATATCATACATACAAACTGACGCAATTTACGTTATTTTCTTTTCTTTTTTGGAACTGAAAAAATTATGTTGTTTAATATATTTATGATCTGCTAATTTAATCTATTGACAGTCCTAAAGTTGTAGTATGTCAGTATGCCATTTCAAACAAAGCTAATTTTAGAGTGACTGAAAACAAGACCTCATATAAAATCACTTGTGTTATAACACTGACACCTGCTGGACACGATTGGCACATCCACACCACACACAGGTCATGTTGACACAAGGACACCAGTGGAGTGTTTAGACAGTCCCAGTCATACAGTTTATTCACATGGAGTCCATAAATGGATTAAGTCAAGCTGTGCAGGGAATACTGTGTGTGCATGGCTGCATGAGTGCTAAATATGAAGGGCAGAGAATTGTGGGTACAGAGTCTGAGAGTAGTAACGTGCGCGCTCACCCTTTTCTCAGCAGCGACAGGTATGCGCTCTGAAGAGCTGCCTGCATGAAGAAACCTGGGTCCAAGTCCAAATTTGGGACTGATGAACCGCTTTTAGCAGTTTTGGAACTTGGCGTGCAAACAGTCTAGTCAACAAGACGCAAATGCAATGTAATGATGGCCGGAAATGAACACAGATGAATACAAAAATGTACCAATTTGACATTCTATATATTAACATACAATATACACAGAACACATTCTTGCATTTACAGTCAGTGCTTATAAAAGCTAAATGTCTCTTTAAATTTGAATCAATCATGCACGAGATACTGAAAACGCAGCGAGACACACCAAGAAAACAGTTAAGAGACATGTCTACACAGAAAAACATGTTCTGAGTAAACCGGCCCCTGACAAGATGTAAAACACACACAGACCTTGTCAAGCTCTTGCAGGTACAGCAGGCCAGCATCACAGGCCATGAGGTAACAGGACAGACATTCTTCATCTCTCTCGGACAGTCTAACACGGGAAGCACCTGACATAGACTGATGGTCCAAAGACAAACCTGAACATTCATGGAGAACAATTAGGTTAAGATTCACTTTATATATATATATATATAACTTGGGATAATAACTGTACAAGAGAGAATGAAATATAGTTTAAGCATGGAGCCAGGAGTCAAGACATGCAAAATGAATACAGCAAAGCACTACATCTCCAATTACAGTACTGCTGATTAGACTTAATTAGACATGTGGAACAAGAACGGATCTCTATGTTTGGTACAGTCTATTCTTAATCGGTATATGCCAATTAATATATATAATTGAGAAACACCATGAGAGCAAATATCTGTTTATCAAACAAACAGGTCTTTTTAAATGACATTAGCGGGACTTTCATCAATTATTCAGTCTGTCTGGAACATTCCGTCTGGGTCTCATCCAGAGCTTCGGCAGGGCAAGATGCAGAAAATAGTCATGGACAAACAAATATTTTAACCTCCTAGAAAATGCTTTGATATCTCAGATTTACCAAGACTTCTGCCTACATTGAATTCTCCCAGAAGTCTCTAGTTCCATCCAAATATGAGGAAGTACACAGAGGAGAACTAAAAATGAGGAACTGTGCAATTAGTGTAACTTTACCACATCACTACTGTTAAAAAGAGTTCCCCATCTATACAAATCTGAAGAGAAGAGTTGTAGACAGCAACCATAATTAACACTCAACAAGTGCCTAATGCAAGTGAAACTGGCTTTGACGAGCAGAGAAAATAGATCTGTATAAGGAACTACAACATAGATAGATAGATAGATAGATAGATAGATTAACACACAGTAGTTAACTTGTTAGTAAACACAGCAGTGAGTTATTGCAATATTTACTATGGGTCTGTCAGCGTGGAACGGCTGTCACAAGCTGTGCCTGGTGAGTCTCTCAATGGACTGATTCTGGGTGGCTTCTGCTTTCTACGCTAGAGAAGCTAATATTACACTTTCCCAGCCTGCTGTCTGATAGTATGTCTGTGTGTGAACCTGTAGTGGGGGTTCAGATGCCAGGGTACATATAAAAAGCAGTCAGAAAGACTGTGGAAGTAACTTGAAACTTCCAACAATTACTACATAATTATTACATAATTGGCATCACCTTGTTCGTTTGGGGATTTTTTTAAAAACGGAACAAAATTGCATGATGTCATATGTATGAGTACTTCAATAGGCCTATGTGTTCCTTATTGTGGGAGTACAATAGTACTGATGTTGTCAGGTGGTAATTCCATATACATACAGTACTGTATATACCTAGCACATACTTTTTTGTACTTGCGAGAGAATGTTATGTATTAAAAATCATGGAAAATTTGAAAATAAGGGACATTACACAAATACAGGATGAGTAAAATGCTGGAAAACCCCGTTTTTGAATGATAACTAAAGATATATAGAAGCTTCCCTGTAGACAATGACGTAAAACTGCCTTTTTTCCCCCTGTGGTTACATTCTGTCCAAGGATATGATAAAAGAAAAGACACACTCCTATCCACACATTTCTCTATGATTGTAATGCCAAGCTTTCTTTCAGTGTACACTTTAGCCTGGGTATGAATCCAATTAAAGCATGCCTGAAGCAAATATTCAGTGGAATGGAGCAATGGAAATTACTTAATAACTCTATAAATACACATTAAAATTGCTCTGGCAAATAAAAGGACCATATTAGGAACTTCGTCTTTTAACTTTAGCATCTAATGGACTAAATAATAAAAAAAGAAATTCAAATTAAGAGCCACTACACCTCATTAAACCTCAGTGAACTTTTACATTTTTTTCCACACAATTAATATTGCCAAAATTTTTAAAGAGGTTGTGTCAATGCTGAACGTTTGCAGGAAGCTACAACACATGCCATAATTAGCTGAATATTTAGACCTCACGCCTAACTGTATACAGTATGTTAATTTCCTTGTCATCATGACTTAATTATACAATAATGAGGGAGGATTAATGAGCTATTAGTGATTTCCAGTGTTGGGAAGGTTACTATGGAAATGTAATAGGTTACAGATTACAAGTTACCCTACTTAAAATGTAATTTTTCAATTACTTTATTAAAGTAATGTAACTGATTACATTTGATTACTTTTTGATTACTTTTCTAAATTTCTAATGTTTACAACTGTTTATCATTTTCAAACATGTAAGCCAGGCAGGGTAAACCTTACAGTAGTACTCAACACTGACTACTGTCAGACTTTCAAAATCCTTCATCA